TTTCAGGATTTTCATGCTTATCGGTAAGAGGTAGTCTTATATATAATGAATATGCCTTCTTAATTAATGGCTATATCTGTTATTACCTTTCCTAAAGAATATTTACGTATATTTAGAAACAAATATACCCTTTCTTTTTTTATTTTCAAAATCCATTATGCCGACTAATTACCTCAAAATCACAACATTTTTAATCGGTCTTGGCTGAAAACGTTCAGTTTATTTTTCTATGAAAAATAGAAAGCTTTTTTATTTTATTTTATTTTTTATATGACAAAAGTTGTTGAATCTCATGGCCATTTTCTGTTATAGGCACCAATACTATACAGATCAAACCAAATTTTCTTTTATGCGTAGAACACGATATCTTCTTTTTTTGCATTAAAATATATTACTCGCCATTATGCATATTCGTATGCACTTGCGAAAGTTTTATATGCTGGAGTAAATTAATAATACTTCCTTCTAGTAGTTTCTTCTTTTCAATTTTGGCATGCATTACTTGCTATACATACGTAATAAAGTTTATAAGTACAGAATTAAAAACAGATACGTACTCCTTACAATATATATATATATATATATATATATATATATAGTGCAGATACGAGGCTTCAACGATCGTCTTTGGTAGTGCATACACGCTCTTGCAACTTGCATTCTCATTCTACAAGGTCATAAATAGTGCACAGGGCAACTTTTTGTTTGATTTTTATGCTGACAAGGTACACACAAATACCTGACCAGTTGATTTATATATAGAGAAAATACACCATATAACACAATAAATAGGGTGATTAGTAAATTATAACAAAATTTTTAATTAAAACATGTAGTTTATAGTACAATTTCATATCTTAAGACTTCCAACAGTATTAAAAACTAAAAAAATACCTCTACGCCATCTCTCCACTACCCCCTTCTAGTTAAGTCTATTGTAAATACTATATTTATCAATAAATATTATTTTATTACACTAGTCATATTTTTGAATAAATATGGTATTTTACCAGTCACTTTTTCTGATGGCCGGATTTTCATATTTTCAGATAAATATAGTATTTATAAGTAATTACAATATTTATTAGTAAATACAGTATTTATCCATCACCGGAGCCGGTGTCCGTATTTTTAGATAAATATGGTATTTAAAGGTAAATGTGATATTTACCCGTAAGTACGTTATTTAAAGGTTGCTGAACCCGGACGCCGGATTTACGGATAAATATGGTATGATATTTACTGGTAAATATGGTATTTTATAGTAAATATGGTATTTATTGTATTTACCTATTGCCAGAGTCGACGCCCGGATTTTTAAATAAATATAGTATTTACAAGTAAATATGATATTTACTGATAAATACAATATTTACTGGCCGCCGGTGCCGGAGTCTATCACCAGTGAATATGGTATTTACCAGCCGCCGATCGCAGTTGTCGACCGTCAGCTGCTGGCCGCCAATCATCAGAGCCGCCAGTCACCAATAAGGAGAGAGGTGGGAAAGAGAGGGTGTAAAGGTATTTTTAAGTTTTTAGTAATCTTAAAAACTTAAGATATTAAATTGTACTATAAACTACATGTTTTAAAAAAATTGTGTTATAATTTACTAATATAAATTGTGTTATTTCTTCTCATTCTCTCATACATATAATATACATATAACAAATATATTTATACCTTAGCACTCATATGAGCAAGTTGTTAACTACTTATTCGCTTTCTCAGGGAAAAAAAAAAAAAAAAAAAAAAAAAAAAAAAAAAAAAAAAAAAACATTTTTAATTGAAAAAATAACAGCTACTTGTAATTCGCAAATTACTGAGTTCAGCTGCTTTGTTATAATTAACTAGTCCACATGCCAGAGCTCGTTAAGTTCATTTAATTTTATTTTGACAGAAATACTTTAGTACTCTCTCATTAGAAAACAAAATTAAATCCAAATTTCCTAATATTGAACATAAAAAATAAATTTTATGGACAATTTATGTTGTACATGCTGGCGAGTGGAGCTGCTGCAGGGTTTGCTGTGACGGTAGATTTTCAGAACAATTTTTTTTCGTATGAAGTTTTTTCTCGATTCTACGACAAGTCGTCTGTATCAGCAAGCATTCTTCTTCTCGCATTTCTGTGTAGCACCGTGTTATCTGTGCACTCTGCGTACGCACTCCAGAAAAAAGAATCTGAAACCAGTAATTGATCGAGGGTATAGATGTATACATACATATATTCTATATTTCTGTTTTGGAATATGATTTTTAATGTCTTTTGTGTTATCTAGTTTAATTTCGTTTCTTTCCTTCTAATAGATGCATTGAGACTTGTGATGTGATTATCGTTGTCTACATTTGGTCGAGTATTATTGATTAAATAGATATTGAAATATTATTAATATATATGTCAATTAGGTAATCTATGCAGTATATATGTTAATTAGTCAATGTTTGATATACTATAGCTACCTACTTAACTTTCACGTAGGAGTATTGATCCAATCAATCCAATTCAATCCATCCAAGAAAGATTAGATCTCAAAAGACTATTTGATCAGATTTAGATGCTATTAATTTTCACTAATCCGATTTAATTGGGTTGGATGTGTTGGATTCAAATTCTAATAAAAAATCTAATAAAACCAATCAAATCCAATGTATTATCTTACATATAATATCATATACAATCAATTTTTTTTTTAAAGGATATACAATCAATTATGTATATAACAAACAATAATGAAAGTTTTTTAGCATATAAAAAATATAAAAAAACCACTCATTAATCAATTGAACAAATCAACAAATTGTCTTGAAAATATATGGATTCATCATTTTGTTTGCTATGTTCGAAGATTTTGATTTTTTATGTTGGATGATGAATGTATGATGAGGAACTAAATTGTCTTAAAAGTAATGGATTTATCATTTTGAGCAAGTTTTACAAAATTTAGTAAGTTTTAATAAGTTTCAATGAAAGCTTAGGCTAATCAAATCATCTAATCCAATCCAAATCTAATGGATATTGGATCCGATGGAAATGAATAATGATAGTGCATTGGATTGAATTGGTTGGACTTCAAAGAGTTTTCATTGGATTGGATTATAGATGGTAAAAAAATATTGGTTTCCATCTAATACCTACCCCTATTTTCACGAATTACATTTACAAATTGAAGGCAGGAGAATATTATCTCTATAAATGAATTTTATTTTATTTTATTTAAAAAGATAAAGTGTAGAAGTACTAACGCTTAATATGAAGAACAAGTAATGGACTCAATGTTGATTTTACCAAAAACGACATTGAAGTAAAACGACACAGGTTTATATGTGAAAACCGACCACATCCACGCAGAACGAAATTAGGACGCTTGACAAGGATTATTGGCGAAATGAGTGGTTTTATACTTGTACTTCAATTTAAGGAGATAAACAGTATCAAAGAAGCCGAAATGTCGTTTTGTATTCCACGAAACGTTTTTTCTTTTCCTTTGGAAATATATGCAGTGATATTTTTTTTAAGCATAATTCTAGTAGATGTTTATAGTTTTTATTAAATTAAATAAAAAAGTCCGTGACTATGTTATAGCCTTTTAGGAAACAACGAGACACGTCTTTGTCTCTGCATAGAAGTAAACGACATGTCGTCTGAACAGTGCAGCGCTACACGTGGTCTTGGGACTACTTGCAAATGTGAATACATTTTACTATTCATTCTCTCACAAAAACACATTTCAAACTTTTGGTCAAGTTATTTCGTCCTCTTCCTCTTTTTTTTTTTTTTTTTTTTTTCTTTTTAACTTTCTTTCCTAACCTTTCATTTTAATCCCCTAAAACACACATTTAATAAATATAGCCCTTAAAATATTTTTTTAACCCATTCAAATAATTATTTAAAATACATCCTCATTTGAATTTTTTTCTTTTAATTATTTCTTAACCTTTGATTGTAATCCTCTAAAATATACATCTAACAAATATAGTCCTTAAAAATCTTTCAAAAAAAAAAAAGGTAGTCCTTAAAATATTTTTTTTACCCCACTAAAATAATTATTTCAAATACATCCTTATTTATTTATTTATTTATTACTTTATTTCCTAACCTTTCATTTCAATCCATTAAAATATACATTTAACCGTTAAATTTTTTTTACCCCACTGAGATAATTATTCAAAACGCACCCTTATTTATAGTTTTCTTCATATGTACACTTTGATTAATTTTCTACATGACTCACTTTAACAGAATAGTTTTATCAATTAATATGTTATACTTATCTATACATATATAATATTCGACTTTAAAACAAGTTTAATTGAAATGTGTATTTTAACGCATCTCTTTTTTCATTTTTTTTCTTTTTTAGAATTTTAAATCATATTTTATATGATTTAATAATAACACGATAATTAAAACTTAACACACGAATTATTCCCCACGTACAGGAGTCCAAGTGTCCAACTAGCTTTAATAATGATCATATATGTAAAATCTTTTTGCTAAACTTGAAAAGCAAGAAATTTGGCCTTTTTTTTAATGAATCAAATATGAAGCTACCACACTAGACTACTCCTAACCAGCATCTAAACCAAATTTTGATAAGGACGAGTGAATTAAGCCAAAACTTTTATATGTAATGGAAGAAAACAAAAATTATATAAATGAAAGCTATACGGTGATATCTAACGGTTGGCGTGCCGATGAATTCAATTACCTGTCAATTTTGGCCAGCTCATGAGGTATTTACTAATTCCGACAATTACTAATTGACATGATTTAAAAAGACAGTTTTTGAGAAAACTAAGCTGATGAAGAAAATTTTTAGCTATATTTTTGTCCATTCTCAAGTCCCTTTCACGAAAGACTTGTGAAGAGGAACAAAACAAGCGAAAAAACATTGTTGGAAAATTCAAGATGACAAGAAATTGAGTACTATATATAAATAGGGCAACAAAATAAAGTCAGAAAAGGGCGACACAGAATCGATCCCTAATTTGGTTTAAAATGGCTAGCAATGAAAGTACAACTCCAGTTGATAATAATCCATCTGAAGGATTGAAAAAGGTGGAAAAGTCTAAGGTTTTATGGATTGTGAGTCTTGTATTGTGGGTCTTTACCTTTATTCTCCTGTTAATAGCACTAATTGTTCTTGCCACCGATACCATTGACCGGGAATATTCTTTGGTAACATATGGAGTGCACAAGTTTGATGATCTTTATGCTTACAGGTATATAATATATATATATATATATATACATCGATCAGTTTTCAATAATTACATTTTTATCATTAAATATATATATATATATATGATAATGTGGCGTGATAAAAATCTAATCTCATTAATTGCATACATTTTTTTAATCAATTACTTAATTTATTACAATTGTTTGATCAAAAATCATACGGTTAAAACAATAATACTCATTGCAGATAAATATTTAAGGAACCATTAAAACTATTAATTAAATGTTATTTGGTCCTTAATATTAAGTTGAAGTACTGTTACCTTGGGTATATGAGACATTATTTGATATTGAAATGCAGATATATGCTTTCTGTGATTGTCTTTGGAATTGCATATAGTCTCCTTCGACTCGCATTCTCAATCTACCATTATATAATTAGCGATTGTAAGGCTGGCAAAGTCAACCTTTTGTTCGACTTTTATGGTGACAAGGTAATTCCATTTTGTGGTCTATAATTTTGTTTCTTGTCATTTTTATGGCACCTTAAATTATGCTTCTTGTTTCATGTTTTACCCTTCAGTTATAAAAGTCGTTTAAAATTTAACATAATCGATTGTGTGAGCGTCACATTAGTAGTGAATAACAGTGTTTTACACAAATCACGTCTTTATAGGATGAGAGATCGTGCAGAGAGAGAACAACCTAGCTAGTTGCCTATGGTTGCCTAATGCATTATTATCTTTATTGCCAATGGTTTCTTCTGTCATCTGTGTGGCTTTTCTTTGCCTACTAAATCGGAAGATTCGGTGTGAAATGAAGCAGTTCAATCTAACTAGTTTAGAACTTGAGATGTAGTTGTTGTTTCTGTTAGTTTATGGATCCATCTCAAAATTTTAAAAAATTTAAGTTGATAGGAAGTGGGTCAACAATAATTTTATATTTTAACAGTTTCTATTATACTTGATTCCTTTCTCATAAAACCGCTTCATACTCATTTAATATGGCTGGGGCATACAAAATTTGAAATGGGGTAATTATCTTAATTGTCCCTTAATTATGTGCATTATGTCACTTTAACCCTTGAATTTTTAATTTTAATAATTTATCCCTGAACATTTGATTTTTGACCATTTTGATCCCCAGACTCTAAAATTGTACATTGACTTACAAAATTTCTTAGAGATAATCTCGTTCTAGACGCGTTAACCAAAATTTTTACAGAAATAGTTATATTAAATGCGAGATGGTCTAATTTTAATGGTTTGTAATAACAATGAAGAGAGTATTTAGCATTTAATGTAACTATTTCTATAACTATGCATCTAGAACGTGATAATATATATGAAATTTTAAATATCAAGAATTAACTTTAGCGTGTAAGGATTAAAGTGGCCAAAATTAAAAATTCAGAAAGTAATTGTTTAAAGTTCAGAGACCAAAATAATAAAATGCACACAAAACTTTATAATATACAAGTAAAGGAACTATTTTTTTGTTTCTAATTAATATGTGTGCCGTTGAGAAAAATATCCGCGTTTATCGTGTGAAGTATAACGTAAACTTCATAAATATTACTTTCTTTCTGGTCTACACAATTTTCTAAATTAACTTGAAAGAATGATACGAAATATGTTCTAATTTGACCAGATTATATCGTACTTGCTAGCCACCGGTGCTGCTGCGGGTTTCGGTGTGACCAAAGACATGAACAGACTCTTTGATAGTAATTATTATTATTCTTTTGAGCAAGTTGATGATTTCTGTGCAAAAGGGTACGCATCAGCTAGTCTCGTCCTCATAGCATTTTTGTGCACTGCCACGTTATCTGTGAGGTCTTCCTACGCACTCGCCAATCTCGTGGGAACTGAATAATCGACTCTCATGTCTTCTTATAGTATCAACTTTTATATTTCTCAAATAGTATCATAACACGTGAATTATAATTACACGTCACATTAATTAAGAAGGAAAAATGTTATATACCCTAATGGGAATATAGCCTAAGAGAGTGAGCCTTGTACATGAAGGCTACCTTTTTATAAGAGAATAGAGGTATAACCTCATCGGGGACAAATAGAATTAATCTTTCTCTTTTGATGTTATTTATGACTCGACTAACAATGAGTACAACACTCCAATGTTCTGTCATGATCTCTTTTTTTCATCATGTTGGAGAATGCATTCGCTAGCTACCTAATTATTTGGTACTCACGCAAATAACTAGTAGATGCGTGTACCCTTCTAAGGAAACATAACTTACCCAAGGCTATATTTCTGTTTCTGTTAAATATTTTTGAGGTTGCAATTATTTAAGCGACATCCATTGCGTTGTTGGACCGAAGGCATTACAGTGCATGCATGCAGCTGTGGTGGCAAAAGCAGATACTTAATTACAGCCAGTATTTTTGTGGGGGACAAGTAACTAAAAGAAAAAATAAATTAAATAAACCGTACATGCTACTGTAGATATTAGATGTACACGAATAATTAAACTGTCAATCATACATTAATCTCCATTAGAAAATTAACAAGCATAATTTATTTGTCTAACCACAATAACAACAACATTAACATGTATATTATATATATATATATATATATATATAATATATATGCCAACGAGATGATGAACTAATTGAAGTAATCTTTTTTTTTTTTCTTGTCATTATCATTTTTTGTGAAAGATCATTAATACTTTTTTATTCTAAGAACTGCTCAATAGAACAAAACATATTCGGTAAAAAAAACATATATATACTAAAATCTAATGAAGATATTATGAGGAATAATTTTGACAAAGTTATGTTAATTTAGATTGGGAAATTGTCAAATGAAAACAAAAGGATTAAAAGGTTATAACATAGAAACATCATCATACATAATTTTGATATTCTTCTCCATTAAAATGCGTCATACTTTGCTATAATCTAATATCAATCTAAAATATTATAACACATAACTTTGATGTTCTTCCCAATAAAGAAATGTGTGTACTTTTTTTTTCTTTTGGGAAGCACTTATACATTAGCAAGAAGAATCAATAGACAGAAATATAGTGGGAGGAAACAGTAAACTAACTTTAATAAATAATCCAACCTGTATTGGGGACAACATCTTGCTAGGTACTTGGGTATTTTTAGTTGGAATAAAAAAAGAAAATAAAAAAGAGGTGCTTGGGGATTTTTGAGGTTTAGTTTAACGTGATTGGTTTTCTCAATTTTTTAGAGAATAAAATCAAGTTACTAAATTTTTTGCTGCATTTTAGAAACGGTAACTCCAATCTTAACTTTTTATATTATCATTCTCTTATCGATAAAGATTTAACATATTAACCCATCAATTAACAATAGTATTTGCCAATATTGAAAAGATGACAACTGAAAATTGTTACAAAAAAATAAAAAGAATTATAGTTGGTGTCTCTAACACTTTTCACATTATATATAATGTGATTTGTACGTTCACGTAACACTCATCACGGCAAGTTTACCTACGCGTAATCAGAATGACCATGAATCGGAATGGGCTATTCAGAGTGAGTAATCGGAGTTAGAATAAGTTGTTTACTTAGTAACAAGATTTGAAATCAGGGTCGCTCTAAATCTTATTCATGCTTTTACATTTACTTACACCCAAAATGGGAATGAACTGGTGTAAAAATACTAATATATGCCATTTAAGTAAATTTTGTATTTTCAATTTAAAAAATAAATTGTGTAGTTATTGTATTGAAATTAATCATAATTAAAATATTTACTACAATAATAGGGTGATGAAATAATAAATATAAATTGCATAATTATTTAAACTATGAAAATAAATTGTCAAAATTTGAATAAAATGAATAAACATAAAAAATGTGTTAAAATTGAAATATATTATTAATGTTAATAAAGATAATAAAGTACATATTTATTATAGTAATAATAATTAGGCTAATATTATAATATTAGGAAAATAAATAATAAATATAGATTGTAATTATTATTTTTTGAATTTTATTTTTCATTATATATATTTTATAAGTAAATTAAGGGTAAGATGATAATTTAATGTTAATATCAAGAATAAGAGTTCCAATCTAGAGAGGAGTCATGGGTATTGCGAATTGCATTCGTCAATCCTAAATTTGAGTGCGATCACAAATTCATTTTCACTCCAAGATAAAAAAGAGCGAGTAAATATGAAATTAACTCTTATGTCTCACTCCCTAATAAGTAAATATGTCATCATATTGTTTAAGTGTAACCCTCAATAAATATAGTATACTACCATGTAATATTAAATTTCTTTAGTGTTACCATCTTATTTATTACCATCTTATGCCAAAAAAGTTAAAGTTCGTACGAAAAATATTACATTTGCGATAATGTACAATGACCGTACTAAAAACTTTCCTTTTGTGTGTGTCTACATATATATATATATATTTATATAAACATACATATATCACTACAAGAATAATCACTTTAAAATACTAAACTTTTTAATACCAAAATATTTTTGGTAGTAAAACATATTTTTTGCTACCAAAAATTAGTAGCTGAAATTATCAAGGCATTAGTTACCAAATTTGGTCGCAAAAACAACATAATCCGCTACCAAATATAATTTGGTAACAAATAACATGGTGAAAAATGAAATTTAGTTCCTGTCAAAAAAATTTTGCTAGCAAAACAATATTTGGTAACAAAAGCATAAGATTCTAGCACCAAAATTTGGTAGCAAAATATTACTTTTTTGCTACCAAACATGTTTTGTTAACAAAATGTTGCCAGGAAGTAAAATTTTTTCCCGCCTGAGGTATTTGCTACTAAATTATTTTTGATAGCAAAACATATAACATTTGCTATCAAGTGTTGAAAGTAAAATCTAACTATCTGCCACCAAAATTTAGTAGCGAAAAATCAAGTGTGTGCTACCAAATTTTGGTAGTAGAAAACAAGATTTTGCTACCAAATTCATATTTTGGTGGCAAAACTATGTTTTTTGCTACCAAAAGTTGTATGGTAGCAAAACATATAAAAACTTTAAAATTTACATTTTGTGCTTGTATTGTTTTATTTTTTTTTTAGTTTTCCACGAATATGTCCTATATTAAGTTTTAACAATCATCCTAGTATACTTTGTATAACAATTATTTGATAATTTAGTTATTTTGTGTAGGTGTAACAAGAGCATGTTCATTGGTATATATATGTGATCTTATTAATTAAGTAAATGTTCTACATAGAGTAGTATATAATATTACTATTTGATTGATTTTTAACTTTGAATAATGTATTTCAATTTCAAAATTATATTTTTTTTGTTATAATGTTACTAGAAGAATGAGTTTTAAAATAATTTTTGTCATTAAAATGTTATTTTTTTTTAATTTTAATATATGTCTTTCTGGTACCAAATTCAAATTTGGTAGCAAAACATATACTTTTAGCTACCAAAATAATGTTTGGTAACAAAAAATATAATTTTTTGGTACCAAATTTTGGTAGCAGAAAACATGATTCTCCTACCGAATTAATATTTTGGTGGCGAAAAGGCATTTTTTGCTACTAAAATTGGTTTGGTAGCAAATTATAAAAACTTTAAAACTTATATTTTGTGCATGTATTATTATTTTTCCATAAATATGTTTTATATTAAGTTTTAACAATCATCCTAGTATATTTTATATAACAATTATTTGATAATTTAATTATTTTGTGTAGGTGTAACAAGATACATCTTCATGTGTATATATATGTGATCTTGTTAATTAAGTATATGTTCCCCATAAAGTAGTATATAATCTTGCTATTTGATTACTTTTTAACATAGAATAATGTATTTCAATTTCAAAACTATATTTTTTGTTATAATGTTACTAGAACAATGAGTCTAAAATAATATTTGTCATCAAAATGTATTTTTTAATTTTTTAATATATGTTTTTCTGCTACCAAATTAAAATTTTGTAGCAAAAAATATACTTTCGGCTACCAAAATAATGTTTGGTAACAAAAAACATAATTTTCTGGTACTAAATTTTGGTAGCAGAAAACACGATTATGCTACCAAATTCATATTTTGGTGGCAAAAAGGCGTTTTTTGCTACCAAAAGTTGCATTTTGTAACAAATCATATAAAAACTTTAAAACTTATATTTTGTGCGTGTATTTTTTTTTTTGTTTTCCATAAATATGTCCTATATTAAGTTTTAACAATCATTCTAGTATATTTTGTATAACAATTATTTAATTATTTTATGTAGGTGTAACGAGAGACATGTTCATATTATATATATATATATATATGATCTTGTTAATTAAGTATATGTTCCACATAGAGTAGTATATGATCTTACTATTTGATTGTTTTTTTAACGTAGATTAATGTATTTTAACTTTAACACTATATTTTTTATTATAATGTTACTAGAATAATGAGTCTAAAATAATTTTTGTTATCAAAATGTATTTTTTTAATTTTTTTAGTATATGCTTTTCTGCTACTGAATTAAAATTTAATTAGAAAAATATACTTTCAACTATCAAAATAATGTTTGATAACAAAAAAAATAATATTTTTTTGGAAAAAAGATTTTAATCTACACTCCCTAAAAATTCAAAACACACCCACACCGCCAAAAATTTTCATTTTTCCTGTTCGGTTTGCTAATTTGAGTTTTTAATTCGAGTTGAGATGTGATGTTGTGTGAGAGTTTTTTACTGTAGTAAAAAAGTTAAATGTGACTGTTTCTGAAAGTTTTTTACTGTAGTAAAACTCGAATTCTAAACTCGAATCAGCGAAATGAACGGATGTTTTCTCTCGTTTCAATATTTCAAGTTTGCCTTTTTAGGTCTTCTCTGTCATTTTTTCAACCTAGACGGCCCTTCTCTCAGTCCAGACCCACCCACCGGCCACCCTCACCCACCGGCGCCGCCCTATTCTCGCTTCTTCTCCTTCTCCTTCTCCTTCTCCTCCTTCTCCTTCTCCTTCTCCTCCTTCTCCTTCTCCTTCTCCTTCTTCTTCTTCTTCTTCTCCTTCTTCTTCTTCTTTTTCTTTCCTCTCCGCCCTATTCTCTCTGGACTCTCCACTCTCTCCGTCGGATTCGGCCTTCGGGAACAGATTCTTTTAATTGCCTTCGGAACAGCTTCGGCAGCAAAGTTTTCAGGCATTATGGTTTAATTTCTCATGACTTTGGTGTTCCAGAATCCATATCTTATGGTATTTAATTGTTTTTTCATATTTGTTGATCTGAGTTTTGTTGATTTTTTGCCGATCGAATTCCGAAGTTATGTTTCGGTTATTTTGGTTATATGAAGATGAATTCGTGTTCTTGATTCAAGGGCATCTTTCTTGTTCTTTGGTTATCTTCTTTTTCTTGTTTGGTTCATGAATTCGTGTTCTTGGTTCATAAACCCACCAGTTTGATAAAGTTTTTTCAATGTGTCTCTCTCTTGTTTCTTAGGGAAGAGCAACCTATTGTGTTGTGTGATTCTCAGTCTCTTTTTCAATGTGTCTGTTGCTCAAGTGCTCGTCAGTGGCAAACTAAAAATGTCATTTGACAAATATATTTTAAGTTCTGATGCTGCTTCACAGAACCAAACGGTGTTTGTGTTACAGCATATATTGGTTGTCTCTGAGAAGTTACATGTTGAAATATGGTTTGATGGCAACTTTGCCGAGGTAATCAAGTGTTTGTTGATTACGTCTTTTCCCTGTTGCCTATAATTACCTAACCATACTTGGGGTTCATGTACATTGATATCCACAGCTAGCCGACATTTTGATGACATATTTTTGTTTAAATTGCAAATTTTATTCTCTTTTTGGTTGAATCTTTATGCAATTATTTGCAAAAAGTAAGAATCATAAGAATAGTGCCGCTTTTCCTTTTATCTTTTACCTGAACTCTTACATCTGGATGTGATTTAGACTATGGCAGCTTTTCCGAGGTGAGTAATGCATTATTTGTTTCCTCCTTTCCCTGTTGCCTATATTCTAACAGGCAATGATTTTGTTTCTAATACAGATATATTTGATTCCTGTATATTAACGTTCATATCTAGCCGACATGTTTTATAGACATGGTGTATAAAATTGCATTCATGCGGAACATTTTTCTTAATTTATGTTGGTCTTGTAGATGTTTTGTATTATTCCTTTTCATGTCAGAACAAAGATGTAACAGAAGCAATTGAGAAGGTTGCTGCTGCTTATGACTGCAAAATTGTTGAAGGTGTTCTTAGCCACCAGTTGAAGCAGTTTGTGATAGATGGGAATAAGGTTGTATTAAGTGTATCCAATCCAGATACAAGAGTTGATGATGCGGATTTCGAAGAGAATGAAGTCGATGCAATTGATATCGTCACAAGCACGGGTGATGGAAAGGTAATCCGTTATTCAGGAGTCATGATGAATTGCAGATATCATCCTTCTGCAACAATATATGACTACCTGCATAAATTTTTATGTCAAACTTGCAGCCTAAGTTGTTGGATGAAAAGCAAACAACTATCTATAAGAGAGCCGTGGACAAGAATAATCACCTGAAGATGAAAGCTTCGAGGTTTATTTTCAGTGAAATAGACCAGAAGTTCCCCATCATGCCATTCACTGCTAGGTCGGTAGATAATGTATCAAGATTATCTAATGTTTGTTACTTTGGTACTCGTCTTGCGTTTGAATTTGTTATTTTTCTCTCTTGAAAATGCTGAATTATGGACAACGGGGCTTTGGAAGATAAAATGGCAGGATATGAAAAGCTTCAAAATGAAGTTTAGGAAAATAAACGCCGTATGTCGGACATGAAAATTCTAATGAAGTAACAACATGAGCTTATTTAAAAGCTATTTCAGCAGATAAATCCGCCATCAGATCATCTTGGACTTTTTGTCCCAAAAAGAGAAGATTCTCCACCACCGCCACCATCGGCTTCAGTTTGTTAGATCGTTTAATTCTTGTAATATTAAGACTTTACTAGTACAATATTTGCATAAGTGTTTGGGTTTGTTTAAGTATGATAATCTTAGTATTTTTTTTATTCTAATATGTATTGAAATATTTAGAGATTTTTAAATTAATATTTAGTATTTTATTTATATATATTTTTTGAAAAAAAAATACAGGTATACAAATTTGTCTTAGTTTTGGTGACCAAAAAAAATTTAGTAGCAATAAATTAGTTATTTGCTACTAAATATTTGGTGGCTACTTGTTTCAAATACCTTTCACTACTAAAATTTTGATACTTAAATCTTGTACTTTTTGTTGCCAAATATATTTTTCTATAAAAAATTTAGTCTATAAGTCTCATATTTTTTACTATCAAATATTCTTTGTTACAGAATATTTGGTCACTAATGGAGTGTTTGGTAAGAGGATTCATGTCATGATTAGAATTATGGTTCATAGCTTGTTACAGTATTTTCTCTCATAAAAAATACACGTAAATCGAGAATAGTTTTGAATTATGATTTTAAATCTATGAACTCAACGTCCACTAAATCTCATATATTTCGTTACCAAATACAATTTGATATCAAATATTTGGTCCCTAAATCTCATAGCTTTCGCTACTAAATATCTTTTGTTATCAAATATTTGGTGACTGAATTGCATACCTTTTGTTACCAAATATATTTTGCTACCAAAATTTTAGTGTCCTAAATCTCATACCTTTTGCTATCGAAATTTTTGGTCCCTGAATATATTTTTCTACTAAATACATTTGTTATTAAAAAAATTTTTGGTAGCAAAAACTATTTGCTACTAAAATTTTAGTAACTAATACTTTCTACCACGCATTTTTTGCTGTAAAATTTTTTGGTAACAAAAATATTTTGCTACTGAAAACAAGGCTTTTGGTTAACAAATTTTTGGTAACAAAAAATTTAACTCTTATAGTGTGTGTGTATATATATATATATACATACACCTTTATTTATAGTGGTATGATAAAAATTTAATTTAATTAATTATCAGAATTTTTTTAAAGTACTTAATTTATTAAAAACGTTATATTGATATCTTACAGTTAAAATAACGATACTTATTAATAAATAAATATTAGAGTAACCATTAATTATCATAATATAAATATAATTATTAATTCAAACAATTGCATATGAACAAGGTTATAATTTTTTTTAACAACAAAATAGAGGTACAATTGAAATTAATGAGGTGTACAATTAAAATTTAACACAAAAACTAAATTAAATATTGAATAATTAGCACGAATAGTTCTTAATTTTTTTAATAGACAATTTAATCTATATTCTTTTAATTTTAATAAAATAATCTCTAATATTATTAAATAGGTGTAATTAAATTTTTTCTATCTAAATCCGTTAAATTACTCACATTAAAACTCATGAGACCCCTCATATGACCCGATTTACAAGGACTATTTTCATAAAATCACGAGTTTATTCAACTTGGGGCTGATATTCTTTAGAATACTTGGAATTAGCTAGCGAGAGAGAGAAAGGAGACTGCCGGTGTTGGGTTTGCAGACTCTAGGCAGCGGCGGCGTTCTAAGTTTGCGAATTTTTGGGTAGTAGCCTTGGGTTCACAAAGTCTTGGCAACGGCATTCAGAGTTCGCGGAGATCCGGGCAATGACGCGGCCTTTTGATTTACAGAGATCCGAACGGCGATGTTGGGTTTTTTAAGAATCACTTTTTATGGTTTTTACCAAACACAAATTTCAGCTGTAGATGGCTAGAGAATTGATTTTGGGTTCCAAGAATAACTACCAAACATAATCTCGGTTCGATAGCTCGCCGCGGTACAGTTGATTTTTGTCGACTTAAGAATATTGTTTCTTCGGGATTTTTAGGTTTTTGTCTTCTTATATGTGTTTCTGGGACGTCCCCTAAGATTGTCTGATTGATGGTTGGCGTTTAGTTAGTTTTTTTTTTCTCCCCTCATTTGAATGGGTTCTAGTTTAATGTTTTTTGTTTATTTAATATTAAGGGTGGGGAGAGTTTAGTATAGAAGGTAATCATTTACACCAATGTTTTGATAGTACCTTATGGGGGAAATAAAGTCGAAATTGTCCACTTATATGACGACTCTGATTTTAAGTAACCGTTAATGCAGAGACAGAGATCCATTTTCTCCTTGTCTTGATAATAACCTTACATTTTTATGCACTTTTCTTCTAATCATATTGTTTTAAATATTTTAGGTACGTGCTTACTACAATTATCATTGTAATGGTGTGTTCCGGATTGCAAATTGTTCATGCACTTTTCCTGAGGAAGAAAAAACTCGATCCCAACTTTTTATCTTACTTATATGGTGAATGCGTAAAACACACTTTTCTGATGCCTTTTCTGTCTGGTAGAGATTGCTGATGTTATGTATGTAGTTTTATTTAATTTTCCACTCTAAACCCAACTGTACATCTAGTAAAAAGATAAAGGAAAAAAATTTAATATTGGGCTGGACAAGATTTGGAGTTCGAGTGTCAAACTCGGTTTGTGTTTGGGATGATTGGGATGACTCGAGTGGATTTGTGTTATGGCCATCAAATGACTCCAATGCATCAATATCCCAAAGCTGGTATTCTTGAGTAAAATTCTCCCCCTGAATATTAGTTTTGGGATAGAAGGGTTGATTTTCAAAGAATGAGAAGGGTTGTAGAATTTTTGAGTAATTGGAGAATAACACTTGTACCCTTTTTGGTTTGAGGAATATCCTACAAATATGCATTTGAGAGCCTTAGGATCAAGTTTGCTTCAGTGTTGGGCATGAACATGGACAAACACTGAACAACCGAATACTTTAGGAGGAAGAGTGGTTAGGACACTTGGAAAAGAGTGAAGAAGGACATGTTGTGGTGTTTGAAACTTCAAGACTCAGGAAGGCATTCTATTTATTAGGTAAGTGGGTGTTAAAACAGCCTCTCCCTAAAAATATTTTGGAACATGTGTAGTGAACATGAGTGAACGGGCAACCTCTAGAATGTGTCTGTTTTTCTTTTCTGCCACCCCGTTTTGTTGGGGTGTGTCAACACAAGAACTTTGGTGAATAATGCCCTAGCTCCCAAGATATTCTCCTAGAGTTGTCTCAAAATATTCTTTTGCATTGTCAGTTTTCAACACTTGTATCTTTGTGGCAAATTGTGTCTGAATCATAGTATTGAAATTTCTAAAAATTTGCCCAACTTCAGATTTTTCTTTCATGAGAAACAACCAAGTGATTTTGGTATGATCATCAACAAAAGACATAAACCACCTTGTACCAGTGATATTTTTTATTCTAGATGGCCCCCATACATCACTATGAATTATGGAAAAAGAATGAGATGCTTTGTATGGTTGAATATGATAAGAATTACGAACATGTTTTGAGAATTGGCACACTTCACGTTGAAACAACTTCGGATTTTTATTGATGAATAAAGAAGGAAACAATTTCCTGAGATATAAAAAGTTTGGATGACCTAAACGATAGTGCCACAACATGATTGCACTATCTTTATTGGATTTTTCAACAGAAACTAAGCCTACGGTATGAGTTTGTCTTCTAGGAGGTCTATCAACTTTGAGAAGATAAAGTCTCGAGCTCACCCTAGCATTGCCAATCATCTTCCCCGAATCCGAAACTTGAAATTCACACAAATCCGAGGAGAATTTAGCAACACAGTTAAGTTCTTGAGAGAGTTTACTCATTGACAAAACATTGCAGTCCAGATTAGGAACATGAAGTACTGTTTTCAACTCTAGGTTCTCTGAGAGAATAATAGAACCTATTCCAACCACTTTAGAGAGTGACCCATCATCAATTTTTATTGTAAGATCATCTTGACATGGGCTCTAATGGTGAAACATGGTTCTGTCTCTAGTCATGTGATCAGACGCACCAGAGTCTACTATCCATGTGCCCTTATTTTCGGAATTAACAGAAAGACCAATCAAGTAATTACCTTTGTGTGCCAAAGATCCGATTCCAATGTTACCCTGAGTAGTTGCTGCTTGTGAGAACATCTTTTGTAGTGTTTCAAGCTGTTCCTTGTTGAAAGGATTGGATTCCGAGGAAGTAGAATTTCCTTATTCAACTGCAACATGATTTCCGCGGCTATCTTTGTCTGTAGCAGGTCTCAAAGGTTTCCAATCTGCAGGTTTGCCATGTAGCTTCCAGCATGTCTCACGGATGTGTCCTGTTTTCCGGCAATGATCCCACCATGGTCTCCCCTTCTTTTGCCGATTGTCATAGATGGTGTTCTGTGCTCCTCGAACGGCTAGGGCAAATAAGTTATCAGTGATTGGAGCAGCGATGGATGATTCTCCGAGCATCACCTTTTTCCTGCTTTCTTCTCTGCGCACTTCAGAAAAAACTTCTCGAATGCTTGGTAGGGGTTTTGTCCCTAATATTCTTCCTCGAACTTCATCCAAGTTCTTGTTGAGTCCCATCAAGAACTTAAATATTCTCTTCTTTTCCAAGATGTCTCTGAACCTTTTTGCATCACCCGGACAGTCCCACGTAGAATCCTCAAACACGTCTAGTTGTTGCCAATGACGAATGAGGATATTGTAAAATTGGGTGACAGAAAGATCTCCTTGTCGAAGGTCATGGATTGTGGTCTCGATCTCAAAAATTACTGAGGTATTCTCCTTGCTCGAGTAAAATTCTTTAGCAGCATCCCATATTTCATGCGCAGTACTATAGAGCAAAAAATTCTCACCTATTTCGTTGGTCATTGAATTTATCAACCATGACATGACCATATTGTTCTCTGTTTTCTAGAGTTTGTGAATTTGGGATCTCCTTCCTTTGAAGGGATGATCTCGCCTGTGAGATATTCGTCCTTCCCTTTTCCGCATATGTACATCATAACGGACTGCGACCATTGAAGATAATTGTTCCCATTCAGTTTGTGCCCTGTAATGGGAAGATGAACGCCTTCTGCAACACCATAGGTGCTAGTGTTCGAGATTC